ACTCTTTTCAAAACTCATAACTAAACAAATTTTCTCTTTTCAAAACTCATAACCAAACAAATTTTCTCTTTTCAAAACTCATAACTTAAAATACGACTTCACAATCAAATCATGATTCTAAAAGTAATTTTAAAAACAAAATAAAAAAATTTTGAATTTTTTTAAAATAGAGTTTTGAAAAGAGTTTTGTTTTGAATTTTAAAAAGAGTTTTAAATTGAGTTTTAAGTTGTGTGTTTGATTATAAGTTTTGAAAATAATTTTTAAATTGAGTTTTGACTAATTTTAAGTTATGTGGTTAGTTATAAATTTTGATTTTTCTTTATTAGAATCACAATTCTAAAACTAAACCAAATACAGACTTAAATTTCTTCCTTGTATTTATTATCATCTTTTATTTTGAAAAATTTGGACTACAGTCCAATAATCTTCAAAAAAAAGAGAGTTGAAGCAAGTTAAGCAACCTTCAAAGCCAACATTATTACAAAGGGCAACATTGACACGAAACTTTAATTTAATAATGAAGTTTGGTTCAAATTAATTTTCCACTTACGTAATTGTTAAGCTGTCACACCTTTTCTCTGTGTGTGTTGATAGTGTTTTAATCATCCCCTGGAGGATTTGGGGTTGTTAGTCGTGTCGGTCTATTTCGATTATATTTTAATAATTTAAATTATTTATATTGTAATATTAAAAATAAAATTTATAATTTTATTTTGATAATAGATAATTTTTTTTAAATAATTAGAAGTAGATCATGTGATTATAAATATTTGATCAATTTAATATTTTGTTTTATAAATAATTTATTTAATAAATTTTATAATATGAAAAATTTAAATTATCAAAATAAATTTAAAATATATCACACAATGACTCACAATATACTACTGTACTTCATGGACACAACAACGTCCTCGAGTCCACCACGAGAAGATGCATGGTGGCAACTAAAATCAACCTTTGTAATGATACCTATCGTTCCTAGCTTCTTCAAATTCTAGAATAAAAAAGCACTCATTGCATTATTTATTTATTAAGATGTCTGAATTTATCAAATAATTATTGAGTCGCCTTAAAATTCAAACTTATTACTTTCTATGGCTTCGTTTGGAGAGTGAGTTGATTTTTTGATTTTTTTAATTTTTTTGATTATTTTAACTTGGATAAAAAAGTTTAGTTTAGGAAAATTTTTTTGATTTTTTGATTTTTTTTTTACTTTTTTTGTGAGAGAAGAGTGTAATGATTATGGGTTGGATATGATGTTTTATTTTTTATGATTAAAATAATTTATTTTATCTTTTTTGACTAAAATAACTAAAAGAATCTCAAATCCATCTTCTCAAACGGAGCCTATATAAGATTCACTATAATACTTTGGTATTTGATTTGTACTTTGAATATTTCCTCATACCAAGTCCCTTTCTCCTACTATTTTAAATTTAGACAAATTGTACTAATAGTCTCTATAGTTTGAGACTCATATCACTTGGTCTCTAACTTTTCAATTGTGACACATTTGATCTTACATTTTGAATCTTGTTCCAAATAAGGACAATTGAAGATACTATTGAACTTTTTAAGGGCAAAATCGTCAATTTGATAAAATATAAACTAATTTGACAAAAATAAATGTTAAAAAAATATTTTTAAATTTTTAAAAATTATTTCTACCCACCAAAGATAAGATTATGTAAAATTAATAAATCTTGTAGACATTTATTATTTATTTATTTTACCAAATTAATTTTTATTATATATTTGGATGATAATCATGAAATGGGAAGTTGTTAAATTTTTAATGTGTAATCGATATATTTAATATATGAAATGTTTTTAGTTTTAGATTTTTTTTTGTTTAATGGATTGGTTTAATAATGACATCAAAGTTGTCACTATGTTTTACTTTTAAAAAAATAGTAACTAATTTAATGAAAATAAATATCAAAAAAAATTTATTTATACCCTCCCTAAAGATAAAATTATATAAAAATGATAAACTTTTTACATTTTTACACTTTTATTTTTTTTGCCAAATTAATTTTTATAATGTGTTTGGATAATGATTAATTATGAAATGGGTGGTTGTTTTTGTTGATATTTTTAAATGATTATCATGTTATAGATGGTTGTATTTATTGTTGATAGATATTTTTGGATAGTTATCATGTAATGGATGATTATTAGACTTTTAATGTATAATCGATATGTTTAATATATGAAACATTTTTAGTTTTAAATTTTTTTATTTAATGGATTGGTTTAATAATGATATCAAAGTTGTTACCACGTTTGACTTTTGAAAAAATAGAAATTAATTTAACGAAAATAATATAAAAAATTATTTCTACCCTCCCAAAAGATAAAATTATATAAAAATTATGTGTTTTCAAAAAAAA